TTCGTTGCCATAATTCATCAATCGAATTTACTGGAGTTACGTAAATCAGTGTGGAAATCCAGAGGATTTAAGTCCGGTGAACGGGCGGGCCACTGGATTGGACCACCACGTCCAATCCACCGTCTAGGGTATGTCATATTTAAATAATCTCTTACTTGTCGAGCAAAATGTGCCGGAGCGACGTCATGATAGAACCAAAGGCTCCTCCGCACATCCAGTGATACTTCATCTAACAAGCTGTTCAAATCATTCATTAAAAAATTAAGGTAATACTGGCCATCTAGTCTATTTGGTAGTCTAAAAGGACCAATGAGCGTGTCGCCAATAATGCCAGCATGAACGTTAATTGAAAACTCAAAATTTGTTATTCGAATGACGTGAGGATTTTCGTCGCTCCATAAATGATTATTGTGGAAGTTAATTATTCCTCGTTTCGTAAACGATGCCTTCATCTGTGAATAAGATATTCGCGGAAAAATTGGGATTCTCTGCAAGCCTGCCAAGCAGCCATCCTGACCACTCTAGTCTTGGTGGGTAATCTTGAAGTAGTAAATGTTGAACACGTTGAAAATGATAAGAGTGCAACAGTTGTTCGCGAAGTGTTATCCAAACAGATGACTGTGATATGCATAAATTTCTAGAAATTTGTCGGGTACTTAACATATTATTATTTTCTATTGCTGCCAGGACCATTTCCTCAGATTCCGGAGTTTTAGCATAACTCCGTCGTCCAGAATTAATTTATGTTGCTTTTAATTTACCCGTTTCTCTTAATCTTCTGTCAATATTATCAAACATTTGCCGATTTGGTGTTTTTCGTGCAAGAAACATTTCTCTGTATCGCCTAACTGCATCACGGGAAACAAAATTCGCTAGCCCATAACATAAATGCATATCTGACATCTCTTCAAATGAATATTCGTAATTCATACTGATGTTATTGAAAATAGTGAAGTAGCTGAAGTAATTTAAATAACCATAAAAATGACAAAAAGAAGTTTATAAAATCTGGAATTTAGGCAAACGTGAGATAATGTGATTACCTTTCGATCCTTTTTTTGCATTAGGCCGCCATTTTGAAATTGGGGGTCCGGATGCGGGTATTTGTTGAGTACCCCAACAGTTACCTTTTCCCGTAGTTTAATTTCAGCCAAATTCGTGCACATTTTTTTTCTTCACTGCTAATTTTGCAATGTAAAAAAAAATGCGAGTTTTCACTAAAGCCTATCCTTGTAGCAAATTTCCTCAGGAACAAAATCGATAGTATACCTCATGTCGATTAGAGGTTTATTTTCGGAGATATGAGCGAAAAACTGAAAAAAGAGCAATTATTTTTTTCTTTGGTTATAAACAATATGACGCTCGACCTCTATAAATACCAAATTTAGGCTTTTATTCTGTGTATTTTTTACTTAATTTTGATCTCATAAAATGCGAGGTATAGGCCCGATTTAAAAAAAAAACAAATTTAGTTGTTAAGGAAAAGTGTGCCAAAGATTTACCATTCAAGTTTATAAATGTAGAAACTTGGTACCATGAAATATCTTCAGAATGTAAAATGTTTCGGAATCAATGGCGACTGAGCGAATATACCTTCCACCGTGTACGGAAAAACAAAGAGAGGTCGTCCGACTGCGGCACCTGCCAAATTGCCGGCTTTATGTCAGAGTCATTTGTCGATTAAGTTTTTAAGGCTATATCGCAATTACGATTAGCCGTAATCGGATTTAAAAACTCCCTAACGAGCTGCCCCTACCTTTATTTTCATTACTTAATTAATAATTACTTTTAACAGTACTTTATCGCCGACATCTTACTCGTGTATAATAAGTACACTGACCGCATTAACTGCAGACAAAAAAAAAGAGGGGAATTTCACTCACTTCGCACTCAATAATGTATCAATTTCTGTCCACACCAGATTGAGTAAAATTCGGTAATCACTCTAACGAACATAATATAAGAACAATTAAGAGTTCAGTTTTCTCTAATATAATTTAGATTTAGATGGTTAATGAGTTTATTTTTAGGCGGACTTAATTGCAGTCCATACACTTCGCTATTTAATTTTTTTCTATTAATCTGATATCGTGGTTGAAACACTAAATTTGCAGCGTTTATTTGATTTATTTGTTACGGCTTATAACAAATGTAAAGAACATATTTAAGTAGAATTTTACACATGTTAAAAAGTTGTATTATAAAAGTTACATCCTTACGGAATTACTCAGTACTTTTAACGGGTTTCACAATTATTTACAGTATAAGGTAAATGCAATAAAATTATATAGGTACTTTTAAACAGAGTATGATACACCCCTGTATTTTGACCCGCTGAAGACTATGGGGCCATCAGAAATACTCCCCATCACTTCATGATTTTTCCTACTCTAACTTAAATTTTAAAAAATTAAAAAATTATAAATATTTGATAGTCACAGTGCGATAGTAAATTTTGCCTCGAGAAATTTTTTAAGTGTCTCGTAATCACGAAATTTACTTCTATTCTTTTGTCCATCAAATTCAATAAAAAAAATTATTAGTTCGTTGATATTTATTTTTAGAGGTCGCTCGAAAACATTTTAGGAACACTACTTTTAAAGTTGAAATAATTATGATAGACCGATCAAAATAACTCATTTAGAGGAAAAAAAAAAGAAAATTGTTACCTGGACTTTAAGTGGAAATGGTAAAGAGGCTTATAATAAACGAAAAAATAAAAATAAATAAATGCGTGATCAGGGGCGGCGGAGGGTTGATTTGGGGGGTGGAAAACTTATGAAAAATTGTATCATTAGGATTTCTGGCGAAAGTTGACATCAAACAAAAATGTATCCAATACAAAAGTTGTAGATCATGCAAAAATCTACAACTTTTGTAGATATCGCTTTTTAACATAACCTCAAAATTTCCGAGAAAAATGCGAAAAACAGGTCTTTCTGATTTTTCGTTTTTTATTTCCCATTTCTGCAAAAATAAAATTTTGACGAAACTTGGTGAAAGTATACCTTTCTCTGTCTTAAATAACATCAAATTTTTTTAGATAAAAAAATCAAGAAGTTTCCGAGATGTTCATTTTTATCGGCCTGAAACACTTTTCTTTCAAAGAAAAATTCTACTTAAAAAATCATCGTACAGAGTTCTGCCGGTAATCATTTTTTTCGTTTTGACATACTTTTTGGTTAAATAACAAAAATTGTAATCACAGTTCAAAAACATGCTCAAAAATGCAAAAAGTAAATAATGACTTGCAGCAATGAATTTTTCAGTAATTGTTAATAATTTGTTTAAACTTAAAAAAAAATCAAAAACTGATTACACCATTCAATTGTACGAAAAAAAACTGTCTCATTGTTTGACCCAAAACTATTTTTGTACAGTAGGTATTGCTATAAACATAAGTCGAATAGTGAATAAATAAAATAAATAATAATTTTTTTTCCGCAGGATCAATTAGTGCACTTATTTTTTTCAAGTTTGATGGATTTATATCTCAAATCGTCTAGAGCTAATTTATCATTTGAGCATTTGTAATTCGACTTTATAGCAATACTGTACAAAAATAATGTTTTGGGTCAAACAATGACACAGTTTTTTTTTTATTTTTTCCGTAGAATTCAATGGTGTAATCAGTTTTTGAATGTTTTTTAATTTAAACAAATTATCAATAATAACTGAAAAATTCATTGTTGCAAATAATTTTTCATTTTTTTTTGCATTTTTGAGTATGTTTTTGAACTGTTATTATAGATTTTTTTTATTTCACCAAAAAGTATATGTTAAAACAAAAAAAAAAGATTACCGGCAGAACTCTGCACGATGATTTTTTTAAGTAGAATTTTTCTTTGAAAAAAAGTGGTTCAGGCCGAAAAAAATGAATATCTCGGAAACTTCTTGATTTCTTTACCTAAAAAAATTTGAGGTTATTTAAGACAGAGAAAGGTATACTTTCACCAAATTTCGTCAAAATTAAATTATTTTTGCGGAACTGAGAAATAAAAAACGAAAAATCAGAAAAAACTGGCGAAACTAGAAGACTCAATTTATGTCTGATTCAATCTTCAAACTGATTGCATGTAACCTACCATTAGATATAGTAAATAATAAAACATTTCATTCCTACTGTAATAAATACAACACCGAGTGGAAATTACCATGTCGGACCAGCTTGGAAGTACATTAGGTATTTAATTATGTAAATATTACATCAGTAGATGTCGAACGGTCGTTCTCTTCAGATTAGGATATTTTATCATCTACGCGAATAAGTTTCGCCGGAACAAGGGCAGAAACATACCCGATGATGCAATCTATAATCCCATCCACATTGTGGAACCGATTTACGCGTTTCACAATGATACAATGACATAAATCTTATAGTAATTATTCACTTTTTTTATGTTGATGATCATCAGCTCTAATCATAAACGATGTTTTATTTTTTAATTTAAATGCTAATATTATACTCAGCCAAATGATATGCCAACAAAAAAATACTATCTTAAAAAAATATTTTTTCCTTTTTCCTCATCTGAACAATATACTTATTGGCGTTTATTCCGTGTTTGCACCAGGGTCTACAATTATGGTTAACGTTTCGAAAAATATTTTTCCATTATAAAAATTTGTATTGACGTTTCTTTTTCAATTAAGTTTGTTAGGTTAAATTCGTTTGTCTTTCTCTGCTTCCATAGTTAGAGATGTTATATATGCTGTATGTGGACTCTGCCAAGTATGGGAGCTAGCCTATAACGAGTAGCATGACGTCACATCGTGGCTTCCGTGCGTTTTCGCACTTCTGTTTTCATTCATTATTTTGAGAAAGAAATTAATTTTTTACACATCGATTAACTACGATGTATACTTTCTGAATACGAATTAAAAGAAAATGATTTCATTAATCATTTGGGTCCCGTTACCCTCCTTTAACAATCGTCCAGTATGCCGAAGAAGAAAAAAATGGTAAAAAAGACAAGTGAATACTTAAATAAAGTACTTACTGTTGGGCCTGCTCCGTGGTCTCGTAAGTAACGGCAACCGTCTGTGTGCTTGGGTCTTTGGAGGTGAGCTTATCGCACGACACGACGCGCCCATGCTGGTTCAGCAGATGTTCGATGTCCTCGAACCTTACATGTGGACCCAAATTTGATATTATTATTTTTGGTGTTTGACTGCAACAAAGATAAAAAAGACTTAGGAGAGTGACAAAAAATACTGTTAAGCGTAGATATAAAACATTGTGATAAATAAACACTAATAAAATATTGAAATTTTATAGATTTTATACGAAAAATCTGTATATTGTAGCTTTGGCTAGCACATTACTGCTGAAAATTTTTAAAACGCTTTTATAAATGTTTATAGGTACAAATTTTCTAGAAATTGTCTTAGAAAAATGAAAAATACATGTCATACATTATGACACATATCAATTTTAGGCGCATTATTTGACGCCATAAGTTCCTTAAAATTGCAAATCCTACGATTTAATGAGAACAATGTATTTTGCAACAAAATGTGATTATTGTTTCAGTAAATCCTGTAAAACCTAATAAAATGTATTTCAAATCTCAAGAAAAATATAGACATTTTCTCTTGTACTGTCTATTTTAGGGGCGAAATAAACCTATAATTTAAAAAATGAGAAGAGAGAGTACCTTGAAATTGAAAACCATCTGTGCATCAAAATTAGTTAATTTTGATGCAATCTGTATATCCTTATTTAAAAAATTTTAACATTTTTCTACTTCGCAATGAACTATGCAACTACATAGTTAAATGTACCGTAAAAAATGACGGAAAGAATAAAAATCCAAACATGATGCATAGTCTTCAGTATTTACCATTAGCGCATCCGCCATTTATTAGAAAGTCGATTTATTTAAAAATAATTTGACCGAACCCACATTAATGCTCCCTTGCATGTAAAGTAACGACGGTCCGTAATACGATAAAGATATAAAATACAAATATAATTTCAGATAAGCAAGTAATAATAACTTTCTTGAGTATGCTATAAATTACTTAATAAACAGTTCACCCTTAGATATAGGTTATTTTTATACCCGTGCAATAAAACTTGTAAAAAAAATTAAATTATTCCAAGAACAAAATAAATTTGACGTTAATTAGCATAATTGCTTTCGGTTTTCTATATTTAAATCATTTTTTAGGGAAATTAAGTAGGTAGTTACAAAAAAAAGAATACATATCTTAGACTGAATTTTGGTTTTGGTTAGAGTACCATAGATTTTATTTCATTTAATAAAGGGGTGTACCTGAATATATGTTAGACAAAAATATAGTTTAACAACTTGTTATATTGAAATAATTATATATGTATTCCAGTAGCGTAGTTCTTGTGTAAATTGGTAAATGTTTCTTTTACTATAGGTACCTATGTTCAGTCAATACGTGAAAATGTGGATGTTGGAAATGTTGGATTTAAATTTAATTTTGTTGTCTTTGGGAATATGGAAAATGTTGTATTTAATTGTATTTCTGACTGAGCTTCTATAAAGAATTCAATGTCTTTTTATTAAAGAAGCACCTAGATATCGCGTTCTAAGAGATATAGATATCAATTTTGCTTTTTCTTATAATTTGATGCTGTAAATACATTTTTTCAGGATTACAAAAATACATCCTGAAATCCACTTTTCTCTACACAGATGAATGCCTTGAAAAAAAAAAATATTACTGTGGTCTTGCAGTGTGTACAAATTATCACAATTACAATCGTGTATAAAAAGTATGAACATATAATTCCACAAAAAAGTAAAATTGAATAATATTGTCCTATAAAATTACACAATTTATATCTACCGTATGTATTTGTAGTAGAAGGGAAATTATTTACTCAAACATATTTTACCACAATATTATTTCCATTTAAAATTCTTCATATAAATATTTCAAAAAATATTGGGATAGATTTGATCTTAACATGCATATTATTACAATTGTGGCTCTTACGTCTTTATTATACAGAGTGATTCGCAACTTATCCAAAAAAAATTTGAAATAGATGTCATGAAAAATGGAACCAATACCGTAAAAATTTTTTTGCAAAATCCTTATAGTTTTTTCTTTCAATTTTGTGTCCGTTCATTTTTTATTACACTTTCCCGCCGTGCCGGTCGCCGACTGCATGTTTTGCCTTGTGTAAGATCAGGTGGACCAGTTTCCGGTGCCGTGCAGAAAGAGTATTTTAAAATCATTTTCGAGTTGCCATTTTTGATTTGATTTTTTTTTTACAAAATCGTATACTTATATAAGAGTACATTCAATTTTTATTTTATAAGTTCTGAATTACATTAGTTAGCTTTATATCTGTCACTTATTGAGACTTGTTCAAAGTTGTTTTTGGTATCTACCTTGGTTTTAAATAATTGTACAAAATAAATCACAATAAATAAATTTGTTTAAAAAACTAGAAGATATCAACATGGTGTCATGTCAGCTTCTTATTTATTGGCACTTGTTGGTAGCAAATGTTAGTAATATTTAAAGACATAAAACGTTAAAATAATCTCTAACGGTATTTTTTAAATTCTTTTGTTGATTAGGCACCTTCATACTGTTTGTGCTTATTTCAACATTGTACTATTTTCCACCTATGTTTGTTATTTTTGCTGCATTCGAATGTAATCATTATTTAAATAAAATACGCGTAATAATAGAATCTACGAAATTTTGAGATTTTATTAGTACCTACCTATTTATTTAACAAATCTATACCAAAGTAAATACCTATATTCAACAAAATTGTAGGAAAGTTAAAAATATATTTTTAATACAATATGCTAGTAATGTGTGACACAAATGGCAGTGTTATTATAACAGTGAGAAAATGTATCGCAATGTGTAGAAATATACAAGCACCTCACAAAACTAGATCGAAATTGTTACCCTTAATTTGAAGCCGGAAAAAACAACGGACTAATACAAACAAAATAAGGCTATATCGCAAAAATAAACAAAGCCCCGTACACCTAAACCAGCCGTTAGCATACGAATGAGCAATTTACTCATTTAGCGTTTTGTTAATGATACGGTTTTACCTAGAAAAAGGCGCTTCCCTTGAGCCAATTCCCTAAGTATCTCTAAACAATCACCCATTAAATCAGTCCGAAAGTAAAAGTCATCGAATGCCGCCCACGCGGTGTGGGTGCGAACGCGGAGCGCTTCGACGATACCCTTGGAACTATAAAATATGCAAAACGGCGGCGCCACGCTATACCGCATCTTCAGGTCAACCGTATACATGCCCTCGCACGAGTAGACAGTGAAAAACCGAAGTACACGGTACAAGTACTACTACCCCATGGTGTGATAAATCTGTGTTTGTTACGATATTTCAAAGAAAATTTAAGAAAATAATATAAATCATCTTAAATAAAATAGAAAAAAATCTATAATTATGACGTCATTTGGCATAATTCTATTTAAAGTGAAATTTCTGGTTTTGATGGTCTTCTAAGTAACAAATTAATAGAATAGTCTACATGAGAAAATATATTTTTGTTGCTAAGATGCAACGTTTTTGAGATTAATCGTGAAATGACATAATATGCATAGATATTTTATCACTAAAAATTTTATGATTAACGACAAGAAATCAGGTAATAATATTATCTTTGTATATAATACAATATAAAAGTATATTTGCCTATTCTCTATTCTTTTTACAATATGAAATATAAGAAGTTTTTATCCCGCAATATTTTACCACCATTTTACAATTCTATAGTTAAAAAGTAAGAGAAAAGATTATAGGCTAAGAGAAAGAAAGGAGTTACAACCAATTAAAAGAGTGTCCCTAAAATTTGTTTTTCTTACTTTTAACCTAAAAATTATAATGCAGAAAATAAGCGAAACGAAATTTTTGTATGAGTTTTCAAAATTATTGATAACATTAGAGAAGAACTTTTTGTTAAAGAAAATTCCTTTTGAGTGGAGATGGCGATGTGAAAGACACAGATGATATCACAAAATCGTCGAAATTTTTTGATCAAATAGTAAAAAAGTCCACATAGAAAAGGGATACGAAAAAATTTTACCAAAAAACCTATCCTCAGTGTAAGATGCCCATGATTAAAAATGCTAGATTTTCTACTTAATTCTTAACACCCTTTATCTGGAAAATGAACCTTTTTTAAATTTTATTTGTGACGCAAAGCCCCCATACAGATATCGGCAAGCGATTTAGTTGCATTCTGTAGAATCACAGACCTTCAAAAAACTAATAAAGATTTGTTCAAGCATTATAGAGAATTGTTTACATAAATTATTATCTGAAAAAAACCTTAGACCGTATAAGTTTTAAATTGAGTTTCTTCGTGTTTAAACACGATCCAAAATGAACTAAACTAAATTGCACTAAAATATATTGCAAAAAACGGTTTTCCTTAAATAACTAAAAAAATTTAGCTCCGATCGAAAAATATATTTTTTAAATTCGTAAAAAACTATCAGTAATTTCTTTCTTTAAAAGTCATTTTCAGAAAATAAAAATTGAAATAGTTATCTGCAAAAAGCATGCCCAAAAAAGTGCTATTTTTGTAATTTTTTGATCCTTAAAATCAATAATATCGTAAAAATTATTTAATAGCGTGGTAATACAACCTTTTACGAAGAAAGTATGCTAACTAATTTTTGAGAGCGCCTTTTTTTCAAAAAATCGATATATCTCGAAAAATAATTATCTAATATTTTTTAATTTGTGTACAATGTACTTATTTGGTTATACTTACAGTAAATAGCCAGTATGGGAACGTAAATGCAAACGAGGTATAGAAGAAAAGAAAAGAGGAGATTTTTAAAGGTTTTTACGATATACATATCTCGAAAAGTAACAAAGCAACTGATACTTACAAAAAACCAATCGATAGATCTTTTTAAAACCTACAACTTTCTCATTTAACATTTTTCGATCGGAGCTATAGTTTTTTAGTTATTTAAGAAAAACCGTTTTTTTTACTGCGAATTTTTTTTTTCATGTTCGTCATTTTGGATAGAGTTTAAAGAACAAGAAACGCAACTTACAATTTAATTTCCTATATACGGTCATATACCTTTTTCCCGGTAAAAATTTCTGTAAATTCAACATTAGGCCATCACAGAATACAAGAACTTTTCGGATTGTGGAACAAAATTAAGAGCTGTGCAT